GTGGACAAACGAATGCAATAATGATTTTACCAATATTCGCATTTAAGGTGCCAACTTCACAAAGCAGCTCTGTAATGTTGAAATCTCTAAATGCGAATTAATTGCCGGGATCATATATATGTATATATAACTTATTTAAAATATAAACACGCGCGATATATTTTAACATATTTGTAAAAAAAATGGGTGTAATATATATCTTTAATGTTAATACTTTTAAGCTTAATAATAAACATCACGCGCATGGAAGTAAGCATACATATATGTAGTTGCAGGGAGGAATATTTATTCTGATCCACATTTTATGTAGCGCGAATACGATTATACGAACCGCGAATATCTACTTACCATCAGTCTTGAAAAGTATATGCGTTATCCTCAGAATAGTGGATCTGGCATGTAGTTCACATCCACTTTTGCAGTGGGCAGTAGTGCGCAGCAGTATTTTGTGGTTACAGGTTTTAGGTCGTTATGTCCTCTCTCAGGTTTCTCTCTGATTATACTGAGGGTTATGAAGACTCACATTGCTCACAATCCTTATTTAGCTGAGACACGAACCCAAATCAATAATACAAATGTCCACTAACATGAAAGGAAAAAATATAATTTACTTTTGCCGGTAAACGATTAGTTTCTATAACTTATACATGAGACGGTTGTGTATCTTGAAATGAAAATTATTCAAAGTTAATAAACTTACTATGGATTGACTAACGAAATTACAAGTATTTAAGTGAATAATATCAAATCTTATTGGACCGTGAGGGTTTTAAATTAAATACCGATGAGAACATGCCGTAATAGCATCAAAATTGTTAGTTAATTTAACTCGTGATAGTACTGCGGTAGTTTCGTTAGAATTTACGTTGTAAGTCTGAAAAAATGTCGGCGCGCATTTAAGAATCTATATACGTAGTATATAAATTCACACGAAATTATATTAGAAGCATCCAAGATCCAGACTTGACCGTTATGGCATGTTCGCATTGATATTTAAGTGAATTTGCTCACTTCTATAATTTTCATCTATACATGCATTTATCATGAATACACGATCGATATACCCCTCTTTCATTTCTATAATTATTCTTCAAATGGAATTACTTTCTGTGCTTACAACAAAAAAATTATGAAATAATTTTGTGCACATATTCATCAAAAATTATTGTAAAAATATTATTTTTCAATATGTGAATAAAATTACATTGCAAATGATATAATCTGGGAGTCAATTGTACATCTCAAAATGAGATAAAAATTACAAAAATGAGCAATTCACTCGAATATTTGTAACTATTTCATTTCAACATCTAATGAATTTACTCAATTTTGTAATTTTCATCTCGTTTCAAAATATACGATCGATCCCCTGATTGCTTTATATGTTGATTAACATGATTTTTATTCACCATCCCTATTTGCATCGTGTAAAAATATATTTAGTTATAATTTATTGTATAATCGCCATAAGATGTAGATTGGTATTTATAGGTGTTCTCATATTTAAGACCATCTTAAGTACAGTTTGAAGATGTCATAAGCCTATCACATGCTTGGCTAAGCCAAGCGCAGCAACATTGGCTGCGTTCAGCAGAAAAAGCAGCTTTGCAACTGTTGTAAAATTCTTAAATATAATTGGCTTATACATTTAGATCTAATAAGGAAATAAGGGCAAGACCAATCATATTAAAGAATTTTACAACAGTTGCAAAGCTGCTTTCTGTGCTGAACGCAGCCATTGCCATGGTCTTTATATCCTTAAACTAAAAACGATTAAAAATGCTACGTAAATAAACAGCGATCGTCTTATTCATAATTGCTATAACAATAACAATTGTATTATTCGATTTCATTATTAATAACAGTTGTATTATTGTATCAATATCTCGATTCACTTATAATTAATTCAATTATAATTCATTTGATTCTAAATAGAGACAACGAAGGTTTAAGCTAACAATTGTAATGTATGTTGATTGAAACCAGTGCGCACGTAATAACTATTTTGATTTGTATGTACTATATGTGATAACTACAATGGATTGAATTCAAATTGATATTTTCTAGTAACAGGTCTATTTAGCCTTGTTTCACTAAAGATCGCTTTGGTTCACACTCACCAACTAAAGGTAAAAATGTCATTTCAAACACTGGAATAAACCTGCTCTAAAGCATCGTGGACACAAGGTTTAATATCGTATAAAAGATTTCACTATTTATATACTGACTAATATCACCAATTTATATGGACGATATGAACCGATCGCACTTCTAGGAAATGTACTTTACGTAATTAGTACCAAGCGCAAGATATAATTTCAGACTTAAACATGCCTTGTCTGTAAAACTTTTGCAAACAATTGCAAAGTGTCTTCTTGCATAATAACAATCATTCACATTATCTATACGTATATACTGATCTTAATAAAAAGAAATTATATCCATTACATTATATTCACTTTATATTCAATGTGAGACGTAACATTTAACTAAATTGGCGCATTGCGATCGAACGATCGTAAATAATAAAAAAAAATCAATTTTAATGAAATTATTTGTACAATTTGCGTAACAGATAGTACTTGTTATATCACGGTGACCAGAACTAACAATGTTTTATTACATTATACGTTTAAATGTTAAAATATCAGCAGACAAGCTAATTTATCTCGTCTTGTTGTTTATAAAATGTAAAAATTATAATAAAATTCATTTAAGAGTAATTTTACAGATATCATAAAATTATTATATAAATTATAATAAAATTAATCAAAAAATAATTTTATAATTATTTTATAAATGAATAACCGACTAACATTTTTGATAAGATAGGCAGAGATACTACATAAGAATATTTACATTAGTAAATATGTACAGAAACTCCATAAACACATTTCAAGGCTATGAAAGACGAAAATTTCTGAAAATAAAGATCGAGTTAACGAATGCTTTTACTAAACACGAGATAATCTATTATACAATATATAATATGTATTACATATATATACTATATATTAACAATATATATAATATATACTATATATAATATATATTGTTATATATATTATATATAATATTATAATATATATAATATATATATTCCTAGTGTTATCGAGTCTCTCTACATATTTTCAAAAATTTAAATAAAGTCAATCCTTTCATCGAAAATCGGACTTACATAAATACATAGACAAAAAATACATTTAAACATTTAATTTAAAACAATCTATTTCATTATCTATAAAAACACGAATACGAAAAATAAGTCGTATGTATTTAAATACTTTTACATAACTTTAAAAAAGTTTCTGTATGCAATGCTAGCTCTGGCTATCGAATATAATTTAACTACAATTATTCTATTCGGCAGGACATAATGGCAGAATAAAACTCATCGGATGAAAATTATTAAATGATTATAGAGAAAATGATAAGTGATTTGAGTGAATGTCATTACTACCATTCCGTCGCTTTACTGAATCAAGCAGGCTCTCGCACTTAAAAAAATGCTTCTGTGTATTTCTCTATAGTGTAATTAATATGGCTCAACTCCAAACATCACTAGAGTATCGCTTTTGTGACTCCATCTTCTTAATATAATTTGCAGCGTCAAGTTCTGACATATTACCACGTTCCATCACCACTTTGAGCAAAATGTTGTGTACGTCGCGCGCCATGTTTCTTGCATCCCTAAGGAAGAACATACATAATTTACAATTAGAATATGATTTTTTTATAATAGTATATGCTTTAAACTAACCCGCAAACATAGATATGTCCGTTTTGTTCGCCAATAACACGCCATATTTCCTCCTTATTCTCCTCGAGTAAATGCGTGACGTAGACTTTGTGCGATTGCTCCCGGCTGAACGCGGTGTGCAATATTAAAATGCCGTCCTTCACATATTGCTCTAATTCTTCACGATAGAGATAGTCCTCTTGGCTTTTCCTGCATCCAAAGTACAGTATCGTGTCGCCTGTCGTTTTACCTGGATTTTAATTTAAATATTGATATAAAATTTAAATACACTCTCCTGATGGAAAGAATATGTTAGAAGATATCAAAAGCGAAAACATGTTTACCTGATTTCCTAACAAATTCCCGCTCTTGTATAAAGCCTCTGAATGGTGCTAAACCAGTTCCTGGACCAACCATAATGATAGGGGTACTCGGATGCGTTGGCAAGCGAAATTGAGATTTTCTTACAAAGATTGGAACAAGACAAAGTGGATTGGAAGGATGTTTTTCCTTCAACCAACTGGTCGTCACGCCTTTATTTATTCTACCTGTCGGTGTTTTGTACTCCACCACTACTGCCGTAATGTGAATCGAAGTTGGATGAACCTAAACAGAAAGAATGATTTTTATACAAATTATTTTTTAAGAAAAACCTCTCCTTAAATCATTTTTAAAATTAATTAAAAGATATACCATCGGAGACGAAGATATTGAGTAGTATCGACATTGTAATCGCGGCAAAATCTCGCACAGATGATCTAGTGGTGGCTTTAAGCTGGGAATATCCTCCAAAATATGCACAATATTGCGATTCTCTTGAATTATCCATTGCTGATAAGCAGACTTGCCCTCTGCGCTGGTCGATGACATCAATTTTAGCTTCTCCTTATCTACGGGATCGGTCGTATACTCTGCTAATTCCTTGAGGACATGCGTGCGCGGATTACTTGTAATATCTAAGTAATGTGTTAAAGCAGTTCTGTAACTGCAAGGACAAGGGAATGGATGCTTCTTCGAGGATTCCTCTGTAAAGAGAATAATAGATTATTTTAAACGTAAAAAACACAAACGCATAAATCATTCTCACATAAAATTTGAAGAAAACAGTAAAGAGAGAAAGCAAGTAAATACCGTCTGTATTCGTAAGGGTGAAAACAGTATCCAAATTTGCATCGCATTGTTCACCAATTTTGTTCACCAACTCTGTGTTGTTCACAGGATAGACAGCCAAATGATCACCAGTCTCGTAACGCATTTTGGTATTTTCGATATTGAATTCTATATGCATACATGATCTGTCAGATGTTGGACCATGTAATTCGCGGTTCACTTTCACAGGAGCCAAGAATGGATTTTTCGCATCATATGGTCTACAGATAAAAGATCAAAAATTCTAAAAATGGGAACAGAAATTATTTAATACAGTTCATAGTAAATAACAACTTACATTCTCTGGTTCGTAAAGGAATGAAGACGAGCGATCTCTCCAGTGTAGATGCGTTCGGCTGGTAGATCTACGTGTTCCGTAAGTCTGTACTGTCGAATACTAACATCTTCACCAGCGCCTTCGATGCCAAAGAATTCACAAACAGCCGGCCAAAATTTATCTTTCCACGTAATAAAGTCATCTTCTATGCTGTAATATTAAAATGAATTATTAAAGATATTCTAGACCTAGAGAAAGAAATTCTAGAGAATTGTACAAATTAAGAATGGATAATAAAATTAATAAAATATATTTGTCTTTCTTAACTATAATCAATGTTATAATTAAAAAATATTAATTTTTATTTTAATTGTTTGAATTTTTATTTGTATTTTATTTAAATTGTAGAAATAAAGGAAGTATATTCCCGAAAACTTACTTTGCATCATCATCCCCAAGCCCCAACTCGCACACGCGCGTAGCACCCAGCTGCTCCAATCTGTGATCCACATATATTCCAATCTCATTATAGTGTTCATAGGTTTTATTACCCAACCCGAATACCTAAAACAAATAATAATAATAATAATAATAATAATAATAATAATAATAATAATAATAATAGTAATAATAATAATAATAACGATAAAGCAAAGCGATTATTGACGTGCAATTTGAAACGCGATCATAGGCCGGTATTCATAGTCGGTTCTTATTTCAAGACTGTCTAAGTAATGTCTTAAGATGCTAAAGCGGCCCTCTGATTGGTTCGTAACTCCTCAAGACTGAACTTAAGACGGTCTTGAATATAAGAACTGACTATGAATACCGGCCATACTTGTTTTCCAACGATTCGAGTTCTCGTCGACTTTCGAATCTCGATACCTCGTGCGATATTGGAGCACGTGCTATTCGCGTCACGACACTGTTGACTTGATGACGGTACTGCAGAGCGAGACGGAAGAGCTTAGCACATGACATTCCAATGTTCATGACTAGCAGAGTATCACGCAATCGTATCCAAATGAGAGCAATAATGCAGTCTCACTCATGTACTCTGACGTGTTACCGGTACTTTCACTTTCTATCAGAGAAACTTCGATTTTAAACACCACCGGTATCATACACGAGCGTTAAACGTGCGTTATATAATGCGTTATGTAACGCTTATAGAATCATATCATCCTGTTGTTTATTAAATGTTAAACAAGGACAAATAACGTTCGCAAGCGTTGTGAGCGCCAAGTGGAACGCACCTTATATATTATACAAATATGTTACGTAACAATGCACGACGAACGAGAGGACACCAATGTGAACAGATAAACTGTGAAATAAGATGTGGAGGTTAGAGTCCTATAGATTAGGACTCTAGTGGGGGTTAACGTGTCGCGTTGCATTAATATGGCGCCGTGCCGCCGTGCGTGTCTGACGCCAACGACATCGACATCGACATATTATGGACTGCGCGATCCATTCATAAGTCCCCTCGAAAAGTGTCCGGTGAATTAGACAAAGAGGAAACGCGGTGTGGGTCAATCGCTCGCTCTTTCTAATACTCCTATTGGCTGCTTTTATTACCCGCCCAGTTATGGATGTTAGTAGTAATGTATCGCTAGACGATAGAAAGAGACAGAGCCTGACTCACACTAGAGACCCTCTAATCAGAGTCGCGAAATAACGTCAATAAGGTTAGGTCGGCGATACCATTTTTTCAGCAAAAACCGGAAGTAGCGATCAAATATAATACTACTGCACGTATACGAGCACCATCGCAGTTGCAATGAAAAAATTATGATTGTGATACATTAATACGTAATACATGTGAATCTAAATACAGTTATCAGAAAGAAATTACATTATTATATTTTTTATATTAATACTGTATTTCATAAAATTATATTTTCTAAAATGACTGCGTTGTTCTGCGCCAGACTGCAACAATTTTGCAAAAAAGGGTTATATTATGAAAGTCTTTCCTCGTAATCCTGAAAAAAAAGTAAAATGGGCAGCGAATGTAGGTCGACTTAAATTTGACGCCATGACTATTTCCGGTTTTTGCTGAAAAATGTCAGCATCAATCAAAATTGGAAACGTTATTTCGCGACTCTGATTAGAGGGTCTCTAGACTCACACTGGTCGTTATCTCTTTCTTTCGGGCCGGTCATATTATTTCAGCCTGTGCGCAGTCCATACTATATGTCGATGGCCAACGATGACTCGCTGAAGGCAAAGTGGAATAGACGGAAAAATACTTAGTCGGTAATAGAAAGTTAAGGTAGTTACATCCTAAAATACACTATTCGTTTGAAACTTTCGTTTCAAGTAATTTAGGTATTAATACATATTGCCTGTAAAATTTGAACTTAATTTACCGTCCCGTTCCTAAGATGTTCCTGATGATTTTTCCATAATTACAATTGCAGTATAGTCATTTTCGCCGTAATACGACACGAATTTTCATATAGCATCAAAACCGCATTCAAGAAATTAATGAAAATCGAGTCTTATGTAGTTGGAATTTATGAAGAAGCATGTGTATAACAAGACCGTAAGTATTCACCGATGATATCAAAGTTTGAGTCAATAAAAAATCTTGATTTTATACATTCTCTTGAGAATTGACGAAGTCTAATAGATATGGCAACGTCGCACTTTCAATGACAATGCGATTGCTATCACATAGATTTGATATACCTTCTTCCTCATCAAGAATGAGATTATGCCATTCTTGTAGTTTCTTCGCAAGAGCCGCTTTGCATTTTTCTTTTCTTGCTAAAAATTTACTTTTAATATATTTTTTCCTTTATATCGTGATTGTGCGAACATTTTTGTCTTATATAAATATTTTGACAGCTGTGCTTCGGTGCTTGAGCCTCTCACTGTCGTCTACTCGTAAAAATACAAGTTGCCACGATACGATCTCATTTCTCTTACGTATTTCGTGATTTTCTCTACGTATGCAGATTTTCCTTCTTTTCTTAAATTATCTTATTTCATCATGATTTAATATTGTAAGTGCATAAAATACATGGTTTTTTATTCTTAGATTTTATCTGACTCAGAAGTTAAAGGATAGTTTATTATAAACTCAAATAATAAGTATCCGTAACGTACGAAGTACTTGCGCAAACGCGTGCGTATGAAAACACTAATACCCAGTGAGAAATGACAACGGATCGACGTCAATTCGATGCCGATTTCATTATCATTTCTCACTGGGTAACGATAAAAATCGCGAAACCGACTATGATACACTTAGAAGTTAACGACAAGATTAATGTCTAACGACATGAGCAATTAAGATCTCGCGACGTAACTTAAAAAAGAATAATACATCTTACCGAGCGCTACTTAAAATTTATCGCCAAGTTATACATGAGGTACGGCATGTTGCACGCAATACGTAAAACTCTTCTTTTTCCAATCAGCGTATAATACCTAGATAGGAAAAAGAACTGACTGGAGCGCCGCAGCTAACGCCTGCAACGCCACAAAGATTCTGATTTTAGGGTCGAATGTTTCATCTTTTGATAAAGTTTTACCTGTTAGGTAAGTATAATACATTATCCAATCGCGTGCACGGATTGCTGGATTTACCTAATAGGTAAAATTTACCGAAATATAGAACAACTGGCCCCCCTTAATGAATTGAAGCTGTATTTTGATATACACTATTGAAAATCTATACTATACAGTATATGTAAAGATGTTCACTACAAAATATTTAGGAGAATATAATGCTGCGGAATTGAAGTCCAAGAGAAAAAAAGAATGATCACAAAACAAGATGGCGATAGACTGAACACAAACACCAGCTAACACCGACAACAATTGACACTAATATCACACTAGTACCAACACTACTGTTGACGGTTACAGCGCTATATGAATATATACATCTCGCACTGGACTATGTTTAGATTTCCACTCAAGTATCACTCTATCTTTGTTGTTACCGAACGTTAAACAAGGATGACATGATATTTAGACAGCACTTGGGTGAGAATTTAAACACGCCTCTGGAAATCGGCATTTTCAATTTTGGATAATGTATTTTGAAACGAAATGAAAATTAAAAAAATTAATTTAAAAACGTGAGTAAATTCATTAGATGATTAACTCTGGCCTTTACCTACAATATCGTGATATTTGTGGTAAGAAACTCAGTTGAAGAACCATGAGTGAAGATCGTGGTACGTTTTTCGATATAAACATAATAAATACGAATCAGGCTCGTGGTAGATAGATCGGCCCAAACATAAACAACACGAGGTTAAGATGGAATAACACAATGCTGAATACATGAATGTATTCTAGCATGCATCAGAGCAGGCATGATTGCGTGCATATCATTTAAGAAAACGAGTTCGACGCGTGATCAACTTTGCTGTTGATTATTAGCACACGCCGTCGAGACTTAAATCGCATTAAAAGAGATTAATAAAATTATAAGTGTTCCAATAAATGCATTCATTTTGGTTATTTTTACCTTGTTTCAAGATAATTAACTCAGATCATTTGACCACGATTTGGATTTTTCTACTCATCTTTTTATTAAACTTTATTCCTATTTATTTTTTTTTATTTCATTATTACTGTTTTATTCGAAAAGCTTCATTTTATTTGAAATATCTTACATCTCCTTTTTTTATTTTCTTTTGTGTTGTTCCTTGTTCAATGCTTTGTCTTTTATTTAAAATTTTTAGACAGTTTGAATTAAAATTAATGTTTAATCAATCAATTTGATCTAAAAAGACTTTGCGTTTTATCTACGTATTTCGTACGTCATGCTATTGGCAGCGTATATTGGAACACGGTTTAAGAATAGATACGAAAGTAAAAAATTAAAGACAGAGATTCGAAAAAAGATATGGAGAGAGGAGGGAAAGGGGAGGGAGAGAGGGAGGGGAGGGAGAGAGAAGGAAGAGGAAGGCAAATTCATTATTTGCGTGGTTCGTATCTTTGAGTTACATCCGCGTGCCCATTATCATTATTGTTATCATCATCATTATTATTATTATTAATCATATTATTAAATTAGAATATTAGATTATTATCAATCCGTGTATTATGGAAACTAGCGAATACTTGAACTATGCACAGAGCCTGCTAAAGGACGTAGTAATTTAAATAATTAACTTGACGGCGATTATGACGTACCACGTCCGTATAGAAATGATCACTTATGTACATACAATACATACCGCGTAATTTAATCCTGTGAGATCACCGTCACCGTTCTTGAGCCATTCAATAAACTCCATTGCGTTGTCGGTGGGATCGCCTTCTCCGTACGTAGCCAAGCAAAACACTGCTAAACTATTTGGAATAGTTTTCAAATGTACCAACTCCTCCTGTTGAAAAAAAAAAAAAAAGAAAAATATTTCTAATATCACATTAATCTTTTTTGCGTCGTAAATAATATATCATTTATCATTCGCGATAAGGTCGAGATTGTCGTTAACAAGACAAGACAACTACCAATGTATATGTTTCTACACGTGCGAGAAACGTGTACATTAGTAATAACGAGAATTTCTCGATTGGCTTAACAACATCGGTCAAGAAGTCTCGCTCAGTCCGTCTTACATGGAATAAATATCTTCGTGCGTATAAGTCCCGGAAGTTAAATCGCTTCCAAAAAGATATTTTCTGTCGTTCTTTTTTTCTGAATTTTAAGATTTATTTAATAAATCGCTGTAACGATTCACATACCATGTCGCATTCCTCGGGATCAGCCACCATGCCCTTCATCTTGTATCTGATGCCTTCTTTGGCAAGACGCCCAGCAAATTCTTCAGCAGTACCCGTTTGACTGCCGTAAAAGACAACCAGACTCCGCCCGGAAGTCTTCAGCTTCTTGATAAAAGAATTTTCCGATGGTGGTACCGCGGCGAATGACGTCGGTCTGTAATTGAAGAATTATAGTTTAGTAGCGCATTACAATGTCACTAATCAGATGTGTGCTTAAGGATCTCTTTTAAAAGCCGTTTATAATGACGGTAGTATGTCGTAATCTATCTCTAAAACTTTTAGAGTAAATCTCAATCTAAAAAATAAAATCTCACTTTTAAAGATCGAAAACTGAGCTACTCTTTTTCAAAACTAGCTCAATCTTCACTCTTTGAAGTGAGGTTCCACTGCAAAGAATATAGAGAATAAATTAAATCGAGATTAAAGTTACTTTCTAACATTGGTAGAAACCGTTTTTAATATTACTAATTCCGGTTTAACCAATAAATCTTCTCCTTCCTTCAAAGAAATCCCGCATTATTCGGCAGATAATATAAAATTCCATTTGAATCTATTGAGATTCATCTTTTAGGTAAATATTTGACCAGAGACATGTTTCGATATACACTGTCGGTACTGAAAATCTATAGTTCGTATACTATAAATTTTCAGAACCGACAGTGTATATCGGAACATCACTCAGGTGATCACGGTATCCAAGGCATTTCATATAAAAAAGATAATTACTGGATAGAATAGGATTTCGTTGATGGCGTGATTTCTTCCCGCTTTCTTCTTTTCAGGAGCCACCATGCTGCCGCTAAGAAAAGACCGACGATCAACAATATGTCCAAGACGCCGAAGAGTGACTCATCATGTACTTCTGGTCCGCTTTCGCTTTCCGCCGATCCTGCCATTCTTATAGCCTTCGGTTGTGACGCGTCTACACTCTACGAGAAATTCAACACGAATCAACTTATTAATTGAATGATTTTATTAGATCCTCCTAAAACATAAGCACTACCACCAGACTCTCAAACTCTATGAGATATTTGTCGGATTATGTCTTTCACGGGGAAAATAAAAGTAAAATTCGACACACTTGATCTCACTTTATCTTATCATTTTCAATAAATTCACAACATACTGTAATTAGCATATATGTAATTAGCAATATAATTTCTTGTTATAAATGCAAAATATGTAATCAAATGTATCATAATCGGCGAAGACGGCATAATTTAAAGATAAGCGGTATGCGTATCGGTGCTCCAAAAATTGATTTCTTAAAAGTAATGGTTGGAAATCGTTTTTGAGGTAATTGCAAACTAATCTTTTTGTTAAAAAATCGTTCTTTTTTTAATCGAAAAAGAGATTTTTTCAAACAATTTTTAGCATCCCGAGATACGCGTATCGCCCATCTCTAGCATAGTTAGTCTTTGAAGTCTATCTAAAGTCCAAAATGTTTATATTCCACAAAGATATGACGTAGCCTACGAATTTTAAGAAGTTCTAAAGTTCTTAACCTCATTATAGAATTGAATAAAATATATAAAAAAAATTATCACATACTCAAAACAGTGAATACAGCGAAATTTGATTTTTACTATTTCGCCTTTATCAAGGTTGAATGTCAGAGATAACGTCGCACGAGTGTGTTGTGGATAAATTTATTTATTTTATTATAGTAGCATTTATTTATAATACATCGATTCCGTGTTCCAAATTCCATTTAAAATTCGGATTTTTTTCTTCTTTCTTTCCAAATCCCTACTCTTATAATGCTAATAAGTCTTACAATAAAATACATGATATAAATAATAACATTCTTACACAGGCTTTTGCATAACGGTCGATATTCATTAGTTATTATTTTAAGCATCGAGTTTTCACAAATTTGTGTTGATCGTCCGTATTATATAAAAAGTCTTATATAAAAGTAATATGTGAAGAATGTGGAATTAGTAAAAAAAAAAGTCAATTAGAAAAGGAGATACTTATTATCAATTTGGAAATAAATCGCGTTTAATGATAAGTTAATCAAGTCGAACGAATGCTAATTGCTTGAGAAAGGGGATGCGCCTGCCTGGACAATGCACTTAATACTTTTGTCGCCTGATAGTAACAAAGAAAAGTAAACGACTTACTTAATAGAAGAATTGTTCAGTACGAAGTTCTGCGCTGTATTCATATCACAATCATTCAAACGCAAAGTATCGAGATGTATACTTCCGTGTCAGCGACTGAACTGATGTATATTGACTTGTTTTCTATTACTATTACGCGAAATGACCAGCTCGTGTTACTGTTGATGATTAAACAAAGAAACGATTTTAAATCTCGTATTTCGTACTGTATGTCATTCGCGCGACATTCAGCAGAGATTTAACAGGTATCATTATCGGCTATGACGTAGCATCGCGATGACGTGCATAATAAAGTGGCATTATATCATTCGTATATTAGTCTGCATATTTCATGACTTTATTCCCTCCAGAGCGCGATGTTATTTTGTCATTTTGACATGAAAAAAAAACTTAAATTATGCGGTGCGCTGCAAATACACGAAAAACTAAAACTTATATAATTATTGTGTCATTGCGAGTTTAACCGCTTGCGTAACACAAGTGAGTTCCATTAAATACACGATATTACCGCGTTCGTCGCGAAAGAATTACTTTACACTTGTCCGAGTGCGCGCGTCATAAAAAGAGCAATGAGCTCGAAAACAATGTCATTCTATTGTATATATGTTAATGCTTGCAAGCATTACTGCTTATGCTGCTTATCTATCTTACTTTCTTCAGTCACCTTATCTTAGATTTATTCCACACACGACTTAACCATCTAAAAGAGTCACGATAACGTCTAAAAATCGTCTCGAATGAAAAAAAAAATCACGTAACTCAAGTCTACTTAGTTCTTCATTATATTAATATATGAATATATGAATATATAATATATGAATATATTTAAAAAAAGCGCGTTTTATCATAATTTTTTATAATACTTACATTATCGACTGTCACAAATGAATCTTAAATATTCATAATCTGTTGATCATTGAGTTTACAAGCGTTTATCGAAAGCTAATCATTTATTTAACACAAGTAACCTATCGTCTACTTATAAACTTTTTGTGGCCAACAAGAAAGCACGATTTTATTGAATAAAATATCTAAAAAGAGAGGGCACAATTTTTTATGATCATTTGGGAATCATTTTATTCCTAGATTTTCTAATATACTTTTTTCATGGAAATTAAAATTATTATAATAATGACGCTGCATTCAAGAAAAGATTAGATAGTACATTAAAATGACGTTAATACAATCCTTATTCACATCGTTACGAAATTGCTGCATAAGAGTTGAATCAACAACTCTGAATTAGTTTTTAAATTACTAAAGCATAACTGTCAGCAATTTCATAACGATGTACATGATTTTATTAACTTCATTTATATAAATCTATCAATTTTTCCTTAAGTGTGTAGAGTCATTATTACGATAATTTTCAATTTCCGCGAAAAAAAATACATAAAAAATAAAACGATTCCGGAACGGTCGCTAAAAGTGAAAGTTATACCTTCATTTAATTAGATACAGATCTGAAAATAATTTTATTGGTCTCTATCAAGGTAATTACATATAACGCTCAAATTCTGTAGTTACTAGAATTGATAACTTATCAGTATTACTCACTCTGAAATTCCTACAATTCCTTATTTTAATAATCTAACAAAATTATTTTTGAATCTGTATCTAGCTAAATTTTTAAATACTTCAACAAAATCGTTCTCTCTCTCTCTTTTCACGCTAAAATATAAAATCATATTCTCTATTTAATGCAAATGAACAAACACGCCAAAAGAAATATTTTATCTTCATATTTTATTTATTTCATATTTTATTTATTTCTATTATTTCTAATAGTTTTCTAAAAATAACTCTTTAAAAAGGTCACTTATGTATTAATATACATATATAAAGAAACCATGAAAATTCCCGTGTTTATAATCAAATTAAAATATGTCAGAAGACGGTTTTTCTATTATATAATGATTTTAACACATCGCTATTCGCGTCAATTGTGAGCTCACTGAATGTATATTAAATAATAACAAGAAAAATTCCGTAACTTTTTTTCTAAGAAACAGCAGATATTTACAAAATTGATAAAGAGTTTGTCCATACTATTTTGTAAATACTGAATATTCAATGAATAACTTTTAAACGTAAGTAACCAGTAACTAGATAGCTTATCGCTGGAAACAAAAAACTGAAAATTGCTATATGTACTGGAAAGTAAAACTGAAAAATGAATTTTAGGAATTCTTTATTCGATTCTCAATTATTATGTATCGTTTTTATCATAATTATAGTAATCTTGTCGTATATCTTATAAGTACTATGTTTGTTACAACCTCAAATAATGATAAACTGTCATCAAAAATTGTCTGATAACCTCAGAAACCTTCAAGATATGTACTGTGATGAAGTATGATTAACAATGACATTGCCTAATTATTCATTCAATTTTTATAACTTTAATTAAATTTCTTTAATTTTTGCTATTGAATAATATCTAATGAATTCGATTGATGAATCAAATTAGTGAACACTGGTATATAATTAAAATCGTACAATATATGTCGATTCATCTAAATGTAAAAATAAAATGCAAATATTTTAAATTACAAAATATTTTACTTAACAATAAACGCGCAATAAACTACAGGATTTCACGGTTTAACTTATTTTTATATTTATATTAAACACACTCTAAAACTTTTAGAGTGAATTGTATAATAACTCTGAAGAGTGAAATCTGACTCTTAAAGACTGAAAATTATGCCACTCTCTTTCAATACTGGCTCAATTTTCACTTTTTAAAGTGAGATTCCATTTTAAATAGTTTAGAGAGTATCTTTACGTCTCAATTTATATACGACGACTTTAATATGCATCAATGCACAGTCAGTTCAGTCGAATTTGTTATAAAACATCTCACTAGTATTAATTCATACATTCTCTTTCTCTAATTTCACATACGCAAACTAGATACTTACATGATAACTGTATCGTATTGAATTTCAAACAGAGCAAGACGTTTCATTTGGATGGGAGTCGTTTGACCACGTTGTGATTGACACGAGTGACAACAAGTCACTCATAGCGCTCGTCTAGTAGAAAAATTCTAGACTGGTTTTTGTAAGTAGTTAAGGTCAATCACAACTGATCAAATAGATTGTTTCAGTTCCAATTATCATTTGTGCACCTTTTAATAGATTTTAATTAATTCATCAAATAACATGAATTTTTATATAAATAATACTAAATACTTGAGAAGAATAACCACGTATTTTAGGTATAGGACGATTTTATCTAAAACATCTAAAAATTTGGCTAAATGTAGATAAGTATAAACCCGAAAAGAATTTTGTTGAACCAAAATAATTATATAGAATGTTCAAACTGATTGCTAGAATATTAAATTTTTTTGTAATATTGCTCATCATGTTTGAGTTTTCTATATAAAAAAATATTATGATGGTTCAATAAAATTATTTTCAGAGAATTAAAAAATCTTTTACTTCATTGAACATAAATGTATTTGAAAAATCATATCATTTGTCTTGATGTACACTGTTAAATATCAAAGAGATAACAACCCAACAAGGATAACCCAACAAGGATAACTTAATAAGAATAATCCAAGCTAAAGTTAAATAACGTTTTATTACTTTTAACTTTCATGTTATCAAAATTTAAATTAATCTATTTCTGTAATTAATTTCAAAATAAACAACGTTTATTCAATTAACGTACACAGTTTATAAATAATAAACTAAATTGCAATCAAAAATACATATTCTCAAATTAAATCGTTTCCATTATTTTAGTTGAATTAGCCACATATTGAATAAAAACAGTAGCGACCTACAAAAATGATTAAAAATAATTCAAATTTGACATTATAAATTTAATAGTATGATAAAAAGCATGTCACGATCTGCTCAGAATTCACAATTTCCGATGATCACAGCTTCACAATTCATATATTTCGTGTCATCGCTTATGTCGATACGATATTTAATTTTCTTACCGGTAGATCCATGTTGTATACACAGCGAAAGAGCGTACAGCGATCGTGGAAAAAAATTCGCAAGCAATGTGCGCGTGGAATCGTACAACGTCCGAGCAATCACGCGCACGAACTTTCCACGATGACGATCAGTGCATAACTGAAAATGCACAGAGTGGAGACTAGATTACGCGGAACACGATTGTACTTCAGTATACATGCGTCGTACACGCGCGGCCATCGCTGTTACGATTATCACCGCGACATGAGCCATCGCAATAAAGTAGCAAGTCATTTTACGTGTAACTAAACGCTAGATACGTAATTATACTACGCGGGTATCTGCTCGAAAAATACATTTCCTCATGCAAAATACATCATGAAATTGACCAAACCCGAAAATTTCGATCGCACAGAAGCCTTCGTTATCTCCCTCACATGAAACATGCTTTCTCTATGACCTGTAGCATACGCACAAAGTTGAAAAAATACGCACACGTATTTATTCGGCATCAATCTTAACTCTTTGTCCGCGGTAATACAAGATTTTCACCTTCGTCTGTGTAAAAAAAATATCATTCTCTTGGTAACAATAAAAAAAGTGATTACTCAATTTACTTTCTTCCTTTTAAGTACTGGTTGTTTCTAACAAAAAATATATCCTTCATAGTCCTTAAAAAATATACATATGTATACATATTACAAATTTTAGAAAACGTTATATCCTCAAAACAAGAATTTATTTTCTTTTATAGAATACTATAAATATAAAATATTGATGGAAGAAGCGACCTTATAGTAAGCAAATTAAATTCATTTTAATTTAATAATTTCCTATCATAGAAAAGTTGATATATATTTTTACTTACATTTTACAGATTTAAATTTATCTATCAGAATTTATAATAGAAAATTGACCATTAAGATCTAACTAGTGCAGGATTAAAATCAGTCGTTCTTTAAGATTAATGAATTTATATATATTACAGCAACACATATAGACTTGTATTCTGATTATTCTCACCAATATTATAATTAATTAACATTTATGCAAGCTCTATGCAAATCTTCTATTCAAATAAAACTTCTACATTAATAAGTCTTTGTGATGAATGACATTAGCCGAGAATCATAACACAACCATTTATAAAAATTATTTTGTCACGTAGACATAACTGATGTCTATCGTCATTCGCAGCTGCAAATGTTTAATGACATTTCGATCCTAATTGAAATCTAGATCACCTTCTTATAAAAAAATTCAGTTTGATGTATTAGGTTGCTCTCGAAAAGTTCGTTTCAAATTTTCTAGTTTGAAATAGTAATACTAATTGTACATTTAAAAAATTAACGATTATACCATTTGACAGAGTAAAGTTTCAGTTTTAAGAATTTGATTTCTTAATTGCGATGCGATGATTTTTAATGGAGTTATGAGCAATTGAAGTCAAAATGTTCCTTCACTTAACTTGAATAACTCAGGAATAAAAAATAGTAGAAACATTAAAAAAAACTTTTATAAGAAAAGCTTCAAACTTTCACGGTAGGTAGTCGAAAATTTTCGCAAATTTTTTTTGGCACGTAAAAGATCCACAAAAAAAATTTTATCTTTTTCTGCTCATAGTTTTTTATATATAAAAATTATCAAACTCACACAGCAACTTAAAAAATATAGTAACCTCGAAAAAAATTTCAAACTTTAAGACTTTTTATTTAAATTTCGTTCATTTTTTACGAAGATGTTCTGTATACAATTTTGATTTAGAAAATTGAAACGAACTTTCCAAACAATCTATATAATATTAATATGTGTTAATTGATATATATTGCCATTGTACATTAACTTAATCTGATAATGAGTGAAATGCAAATCCAATAATTACGTATAAAAAGGAAAATATATCTACTATAAACCAATTAGATCTTACATGTATAAATAATATATAATATAATAAACTAACAAGAAGGAAACCGCAATGATTAACGGTCAAAGCCAATAACGGTCAAAGCTGGATCACAATGCTTATTAAAATTATGTGGGGTATGTTAAGTTAACACCCCAACTATAGTACTCAGTAGTTTTGATTAGAGTTCCCACTTCCTTTTGACGAGACGAAGAGTTCCCTATAGTTAATAACAAGAGTTTCGCTCAATAAACATTTCTTTTACATTTTTTAAAAATGGGGTGCTAACTTTTTATCGAATTTCGAGGTGGAATAGTTCTGAGCGGCTTAATAGCTTCAATTTGCGATTGCCTAGAGTTCCTGATATGTAAAAAAAATTTTCGAAAAAAAAAAAATTGAAAATTTTTGAAGAATTAATTTTTAGATACAATAGTTCTGATGATAATTCCTGCTTCTTTTTGACGATACGAAGAGTTCTCTATGATTTTTAATGACATATGCGCTTAATAATCATTTTTTAATAATTTTTTAAAAATGGGGTGCTAACTTTTTAACGAAATTCAAGGTCGCATAGTTCTGATCAGCTTAACAGAACTATTTTGTGAATACCTAGAGTTCTTGATACATAAAAAACATTTTTGAAATATAATGAAGTTTAAAAAAAATAGTGGAAATCTTTGAAAATTTGTTTGAGAGTACCGAGTAGTTCTGAGTAGCGTTTCTTATAGTACTCGACGAGTTCTATCGAAAACTGTAAGGTGAAGAAGCGATTGGACCAACGGTTTGCAAGATACAGCGACATTTGTCGGAAGATCAACAATTCTTAGAGTATATCTCGGAAACCGTTGGTCCAATCGCTTTGAGTCCTGATACTTTTCGACAGAACTCGCCGAGAACTGTCCAGAACTCCGAACAGAACTACTCGGTACTCCCAAAAAATTTTGACTTCAAATTTTTTTCTAAGTCCCACGTCGGAAAATTTTTTGAGAGTACCGAGTAGTTCTGAGTAGCGTTTCTTATAGTTCTCGACGAGTTCTATCGAAAACTGTAAGGTGAAAAAGCGATTGGACCAACGGCTTGTAAGATACAGCGACATTTGTTAAGATCATACAATTTTTAAATAAGTATATCTCGGAAACCGTTGGTCCAATCGCTTTGAGCCTTGATACTTTTCGACAGAACTCGCCGAGAACTGTCCAGAACTCCGATCAGAACTACTTGGTCTCCAAAAAAATTTTCCGACGTGGGATTTATAAAAAAATTTTTGATCAAAAATTTTTTGGGAGTACCGAGTAGTTCTGTTCGGAGTTCTGGACAGTTCTCAACGAGTTCTGTCGAAAAGTATCAGGGCTCAAAGCGATTGGACCAACGGTTTCCGAGATATACTCTAAGAATTGTTGATCTTCCGACAAATGTCGCTGTATCTTGCAAACCGTTGGTCCAATCGCTTCTTCACCTTAAAGTTTTCGATAGAACTCGTCGAG